AATATATATATATATATATATGTGTGTGTGTGTGTAATTTCGAACAAAACTATTTCATCGGTCTGAATGAACGTGATCAGCTGTTTGGTTGTTGCCAAGCGTAAAGCTTCACAATGGACTATCTATGCTCTGACCACCATGATCGTAAGCCTGCAGACTTATAGCTGAGCCACTGGGTAACAAAAGCAATCAGTGCAATGTAAAATGGTGAGGTTGTTTGTTAAGTTCTCAAGAAATAAAATTGCGTTTAATGATTTTTTTTTGTTCATTGAGTTTAAATATAGTTGCTGTCTTATACACTTTTTTTTGTACACGCCATAGTGAATTTATGTGCTCACATTAGTGACCATTAATATCGTTATTTACGTCAATCCATGTTTACATTGAAACATGGAAACCATTAGTGGACGCCACATCCACGTTGCCCTAATAAACCACAAAGCAACCATTCTACCCACTGTACGCTCCTATTTTCTCCAGGCAATATATTTAGTGATAAGCTGTACTTAGCAATTCAACAAAGAATAATTGTATGCAAAGTCTAGTGACTCTCTCAAACGATACAGCTTCTTGATTTCAACACCTTTAGTACTCCAACTCCACCTGTTGCTATATTGGATCACAGAATAACTAGTGTTTCAGTAGCTTAGCCTGAAGTGAATTGTTTATTGTCCTAAACAAATTATTTTGTACCACATTCAAAGGAAGTGTGTAACAATTAAGACAAATTACGTGATCGTACTTAATGAAAAACCACAAACATAAACACATGAGAGATTCGTGTGATAACATTCTTTGATGCATTTACAGGGAACAATATTCATATAACTGACTTGATTTTCTAGTCAGTAAGGAGTCAATCCAAAAAGAGCTCCAAGATGTTGACGTTAAAAAATTTGCTCAGTGGGATACTTTAGAATTTTAGGATGTTGAGAAGTTTGCTCAGTGTGGTAAATTAAAGTTTTTGAATGTTCAGAAGCTTACTCACTGTCTTAAATTGAAATATTTTGGATGTTAAGTAGTTTGCTCAGTGGGATATATTGGAGTTTTTGGATGCTAAGAAGTTTGCTCAGTGGGGTACATTGGAGTTTTTGGATGCTAAGAAGTTTGCTCAGTGGGGTACATTAGAGTTTTTGGATGCTAAGAAGTTTGCTCAGTGGGGTACATTGGAGTTTTTGGATGCTAAGAAGTTTGCTCAGTGGGGTACATTAGAATTTTAGGATGTTGAGAAGTTTGCTCAGTGTGGTAAATTAAAGTTTTTGAATGTTCAGAAGCTTACTCGCTGTCTTAAATTGAAATATTTTGGATGTTAAGTAGTTTGCTCAGTGGGATACATTGGAGTTTTTGGATGCTAAGAAGTTTGCTCAGTGGGGTACATTGGAGTTTTTGGATGCTAAGAAGTTTGCTCAGTGGGGTACATTAGAGTTTTTGGATGATAAGTAGTTTGCTCAGTGGGTACATTAGAGTTTTGGGATGATAAGAAGTTTGCTCAGTGGGAACATTAGTTTTTCAACAATAAGTAAAACTTTCTGCAGAGCTGGGTGGCTGTAAAATGGCTTGAATATCAACATATATTTTTGAAAATTATTTATATTCAATAACAACGAATTTCGTAAGTGGAAAGTAATATAGGTCACGGTACGATATACATTGGCTTTTTGTACACATACACATAAATGGCAAATATTTTAGTAATTGAACTCTATCGTACATCGACATTTTCAACATAAGAGACATCTTTTTTGACACATAACACTAAACAACCAGATCAAAGACTCTTAAGCTACAGATATATTCATTCTTAATATCGAAGTACTGGCCAGAGGGAGGAAATCCAATCAGTAGCACCCGTCGTCTACAAAGTTATTCTATTATATTAGTGTGAATGACTGTAATGGTTATAATGCTTCACGTCTGGAATTGCAGAGCATGTTCAGAGGGATATCGCGGCTCGAACCTTGGACCTTGATATTCGTAGACCGCCATGCCAATCACAAGTTTATGCCCGCCTCATCTAGGTAGATCATGTTCATACCGCACATTGAAATTAAAATCCTGCAATTTTACAATTTCGTTACCTAAAAATTGTCTTTGCATTTGTTGTTCGTAGGAAAACAGATATGAGGAACGACAGGAAATTTATGCTCATAATTGGACAAGAAAAAACTTAACAATAATTACAATCAGAAGTTTTGTGACTGTCGTGAAATTAAATAACTTTTCTCAACTAATTTTTCAGACAATTATGCTGCATAAATATGATAGCTTCCCAATTTGAAAAGCCAATTGTTCAAGCTATTAGAAAAATATTTTCCATACTACTGATGTTATGGTAGCTTACCATTTTATCGAAACATATATTATGGTCTGAACTC